CCCCCGGGCAGGCAGCTATGGGGGGGGCAGCCCCCGGGTCCGCAAGTGTCCCCGCCCCCTGGCACCCGGCGGGCGAACGGCCACGCCCCCTGGCGCCCGGCCACCACCACAGGTTGGGGACCACTGCTCTAGCCCCTGCAGCACCATTGAGAAGTACCCCTTGTGGTTTACGTACTCCTTGGCAAGGTGCTTGGGAGTGAAGATGGGGATGTGCATTCCGCCTATTATCCCATCACAGTTAGGGAACCCAACTGTGGCAAAGCCTTCCACTATGTCCTCCACATTTCCCAGAATCCCTACCCTCCATAGCTGAAGGGTATTGATCGCCTTGTCTGCTTTGATCACAATGGCCCCCACTGTAGAGCTCCTCACTCCAAATAGATTCCCAAATAAGTGGTAGCTGTCTGGCATTGCAAGCTTCCACAGGGGTATTGCCACTCACTTCTCCATTGTAAGAATAGGACTCATTCTGATATTCTTGCGCTTCAGGGTGAGGGAAAGCAATTCACAAACTTCCATGAAAGTGGCCTTACACCTACTGAAGTTTTGTGGTCACTGCTGATTGTCCCATTCCTCATAACTATGCTGTTCCACCAGCCTGTGCTTGTCTCATGGCACCAGAACCGGTGTTCCACTGTGTCCAGAGGATCAAATGCTGGCAGCATTTGCTAGTCGTTCAACTCAAGTGCTTCACAGAATAGTATGTTCATGGCCTCCTGAGAGTCAGCCTTATTCTGGCAGACTTCAGCATTAGGCTCTCCATGATTAATATTATCATAATGCTTTGATGCTCAACAGGATCTGCAATGAGTTCCATGCTTATGATGTTATGGCATCTGCATGGATAGCCAAGAAAAAAAGGGCACTAAGGAATTGTTGATGTTGTTCTCAAGCATAGGGGGAGGGAGGAAACAAGTTAATTATGGGACAGTGACGACATGTACCTGGAGCTATCAGTTGCACAGTTTTGGTCCTGGCGTGCACTGGGAGCATAACCACAATGAAAAGGGGTACAGACACTGTGGAATAGCTACCCATAGTGCATCACTCTCAAAGTCGACAGTAGCCACCCTGCTGAGGATGCACTACTTCAAATTATGTCGAATTCTTGCACACAGGACATGTGCCTTCAACTTTACAAAATTGGGTGCTAAAAAGTCGACCTTAATAAATTAAACCATGTCTCTCGGTGTAGACATGGCCTTATTCTGAAGACGGGGATAGGAGAGGAATGGGTGCAAGCCACTAGAAGTAGCCTATGGAAAAGCAGAAGCCTGGAGCCACTGGGAAACCCCAGAGAAGCTCAGAATGGTGACCCTGTTGTTCTTCCTCCTCCAGGGCAAACTGCTCTGAGTATTTCCCCATTTTCCTGGCTGTTCTGTGGCAGGCTGGCCTCTTCTTCCATCAAGGTGAGACTGGCTATTTCATTGGTTAAACGGGTGAGGTGGGAATGTTGGCTCTGTTTAGCTTCGCGTCTGCTACGGGCTGACCCCCTCGGCAGAGGTCAACAGCACTAGGTTCCTCAGCTCTCTGACACGATTGCACCCCAGTAGAGTGGGAATAGTCAGGATCGTCTCAGAAGGTTCTAGCTGTACAGGGACAGGCTGGGAAAAAAGTTCCCAAGAGCCTTTGTCTTCTGCTGTTATTTGTCTCCTTCTCTTAATTGCAGGTCTGACTGCTGCCCTGGGCCTGCTTTATCTCTACTCCCGCTACCGCTATTTTGTGGGATATAAGGCATCCTCCTCAGGAAGGTAATGGAGCCCTGCTGAAGCGGGTCACAGATTTCTTTTTTGGGGCTTTGGGCATGGAATTAAAGGCGCTTGGGGGTTTGGTTTCAGAGACTACTGTCCTGCCTATTCAGGATGCAGCAGGGTTCCTTTCTCTAGTAGAAAAATCAGCATTAGTTAGAACTGCCAAGAGATCTCTTCCCTTGAATATAAAAATACTGTCAAGGCTAATTAAGAAAATTAGAGCCTGCAAAGATTTATAGGGGTCTCTTTAACATCACAATGTCATGGTGGGTGTTTTGAGAACTGTGCTCTGTATTACAGGCAGCCAGAACTCATTCATGTGGGCTTGGATGTAGGATTAGGACTAAGCATACAGAAGAGTTTTCTGCTTCAGGGCTTCCCTTGATTGTGGGCAGTCTGTGTGTGTGTGCATGGGTGCACCTGGGGTGAGCCAGCACAAGGGAAAGGACTGTACAGATGTCAGAGTTCTAACCTTACCCTCCCTTTTTAGAGGGTGTGGGGACGGGAGTCAATGGGTTTCATTATACCCTCTCCCCACTTTTCCCCTCTTGGGGTGTATTATTGTCATTATGTGAGGCTTCTAAGTATGAGCACTCTTGTCTTCCTTCAGGTTAGCCCCAATGTATTTCAGCGCTGGAGTTCTCTGGATTCTTATTGGACTAGCAGCAGTTGGGATCTTGCATTTCTTGCTCTTTCACTATGTGGGGCTAAATGTACTTTTATTCATTAGTTTGTGAAAGGAGAGTTTCCTTGGACTGCACGCTCCCGTCTTGGCCCCTCTGAACATGTGGATCCAATGGAGGGAAGATCCAAGTCCCCTACCACCCCAATGTCTCAATGTGTGCTAAAGGAATGGGTGCACATAGCACTGCCCTGTACTGGTAGAATGTGAGTCATGCTCAGTGTCTACATTCTAAGCAAGGGATTCTCAAACTTCGTTGCTCTGCAACTCCCTTCAGACAACAAAAATGACTATATTATTACAAACATTACACAGGGGATGAGAGACATTGTTCCATATTCTTTTTGAAAATATGCTTATGGCATGAGTGACATAACTAAGAAGTACTTTCTGCAAGGTAATTCATTTAAGCGGTCACTGGCGAGGTTATGATTTACTGAATGTAATTATCTAATTTGTATCCTTGTATCATTCCTGTAGCTGAAGTTAGGAATATTGACCAGGTATCTGTATTTCATATATGCTACTTTTGGGTGACATGCCCTGCTAACACTTCAGGTAACAATGAAAATGCCAGACAGAGTTGATGGCCCATTAGCCAGGACAATGGACTGTGAAAAGGCTTGGTTCCATACTGCTGCTGACTCACTGGATGCAGTGATGCTACCCTCTAATATCATCAATTCACAGACACTTACCTTCCTTCCTCCCCCTTCCCACCCCCCCGCCTCCTCCTTCTGTTCTGCAATGTGATTTGTCCTTTTCATATTTGTTCTTTTTTTTAATTGTATCCTTTGGTATATATGGTTGTGACTACTTTCTTCCACTATTTGATCTGAGGAAGTGGGTCTGGCCCACGAAAGCTCATCATCTAATAAACCATCTTGTTAGTCTTTAAAGTGCTACATTGTCCTGCATTTTGCTTCAACTACCCCAGACTAACATGGCTACATTTCTATCACTATGCTACAGTCAGGTAACCAGGTCACCTGATACTAATCACCACCTTGGACTGCTGTACTTCTCCACTGGGTGTGAGGAGTCAAACCAGATTCCCACCTTATGGGAATTCTATATAAGGTGGAGGAGGAGGAAATAATAAAGGTCTTCAGCTTGCTTCACCTCTGTCTCCCACTCAAGAAGATACTTGAAAACACTTGGAAACAAAAGGATTAGAACTGAGGGATGGGATGGGGGGGAGGAACACTGCTGGACCCAAGTTAGAAAGACACCTCTGGCCTGTGAAGGACTGTAAAAACAGTATCTAGGATGATGAATTTGTAACCAGTTTCTTTAGTGAATCTAGCTTAGTTTGCCTGCTTTATTGCAGTATTTTCTTAGTAGTCTGCTTGCTATATCTTTAAACACTTAATTCATCTTTTTATAGTTAATAAACTTACTTCTGGCTTATAATATAATTCAGTTTATGTACTTTCTAACTGGGGGTGGGGAGACTTGTGCAAACCCTCCTCCACTTCAAGAGAGGGGTCAAATTTCACATAACTTTAGGTTTGCACTCCAAGGGAAGAGGCCATCTGGGTGCTAAGCCCTCACAGAGCTGATCTCAGTGTCTGTGTCATTCTGCAGCTGCATGTGGCCCCATCCGTGTCTGTGCTGGAGGAAGCTTAAAGCCTGGCTCCACAAGACAGGGTAAAAGGATGCCCAGGCTGGCAGAAAAGGGATCTCTAGCACATCCAGTGACGTCTGACGGGGTCCAAGCCATCACACCGGCGCTATTTGAAACCCCTGGGGTGGATGAGTGTCAGCCCACGCACTTCTAAAATCCCCTCTCCCAGCCTCGTGGGAGGGACAACTGGACCTCGGGATCAACCGATTCCAGGGAACAAATAATGAAAAATATGGTTAGAGGGTGCGGGTCAAAGGTTTAAAACAAGGGAGCCGGATGGGGACACAGAGCAGAGAACCCCGGACAGCGCCCACTGCTCCTCAAAGCTGTCGATGGAGCCAGCGGATGCTGCCCAGAGGAACTCTGCCTGGCTACGTGACAAAAGGGAGGAATGGAAATAGGCCCCACAGTGACAGAGCACCCCCTCATCCAGCATCCTCTTCCTGGTGTTGTATATAGAGGCTTCCACCAGGGCCAGGAAGAGGTTGATGAGGAGGTCTCATGACTTTGTGGGGCCACGGATAGAATGTGCATAAATAAAAAGGTGAGGGGAAAAGTGCAGCCAGAACCTCAATAAAAGGTTCTGGAGGAGCAGGAATAGGGGCTGCGACCTGGTGCATTCCAGATATGCGTGCACCAGGTTTTCCCTCGCCGCAAAAGGGGCAGGTGTCGGGGATGGGGGTGAACTGCACCCGTGCTTGTAGCTCTGTGAAGGAGCCGCCAATTGATGTCCCCGATGGGCCAGGGAATTAGGGTGGAGTACACACTGGCCTCAGGATTCCCCACCCCCACAGATCTTCAGTAGTCCTGCCACTTGGTGTCAGGGTGGGACACGAGGGTGAGAAAAAGCAGCATGGGAGCCTGAGCGTGTACAGGTGGTCCCTGGGCACGGTTTGAAAATAGACCGACTGCAGATCACAGGGGCATGGAAGCCGGAACCCACCCTCAAGGGGGGCCTTTCTGCCCTGGACAGGGGGCACCAAATTCCAAAGGCTTGAGCCCCAAGTTAGTGCCCTATAACCTGAGCCTAGAAGCTCTCGGGCTTTCGTTTCAGCCCCCATGGTGTGACTCGGGCTTCTGCATGTCTAAGCCAGCCTTGATGACCCCACTCAAATGGGATTGCAACCCACTCTGTGGTCCTGCCGCTGTTTGAGAACCTCTGTTCTAGGCACTTCTCACCTGGCCAACAGCTCAGTCCTGCTCCTATTGAAGACAGTGGAAGTTTCACTAATGTCTATGGGTACGTCTACACTGCAGCGCTAATTCAAACTAACTTAGCTAATTCGAACTAATGCATCCAGACTAAAAAACTAGTTTTTAGCGTTTTGCTAATTCGAACTAGCATGTCCACATTAAATGGACCCTGAACCGGGGTTAAAGATGGCCGGAAGCAGTGCCAGCAGGGCATCAGAGGAGGACTTAGAGTGTGGAGCTGCTGCCTCAGGCTAGCCGAGGGCTGTGCTTAAAGGGACCCTTTACAGCATTTTTGATAGCCACAAACTTAGCCAGCCTCTCCTTCTACCTGAGGAACACCCTCAACCACCTCCCAGCTCCTCTGGCTGCCTTATATAGCCCTCTGGCTAATGAGGCCCACAGTTGCTTCCATTAGCCCTTCAGGCCTGGACTTGCTCAGCTGTCTGCAATTGGCCTTTTCATCCAGGCTGTAGTGGCAGAGCTCCAGCTTAGCCAGCAGTCTGTCACAACAAGTTCAATAGTACCAGTTGTCTGTAATCTTTTTAACTCAATCTCAACTACTTTTTGTTTCATGGCAAAGGGTACAAATCTAGGTTTGAAAAAATGAGGCATGGTATCGGTTTACTTAGACTATAGCACTAGTGTCTCATAAAGTGTCTAGTTCATCTTTAAATGTTTCCTTATGGCTACGTCTAGATTGGCATGATTTTCCGCAAATACTTTGTGGAAAAGAGTGTCTAGATTGACACGGATGCTTTTCTGCAAAAGCATTTTTTGCAGAAAAGCGTCCGTGTCAATCTAGATGCGCTTTTCTGAAAAAAAGCCCCAATCGCCATTTTCGCGATTGGGGCTTTTTTGCGCAAAACAAATCTGAGCTGTCTACACTGGCCCTTTTGCGCAAAAGTTTTGTGCAAAAGGACTTTTGCCCGAACGGGAGCAGCATAGTATTTCCACAAGAAGCACTGATTTCAGACAGTAGGAAGTCAGTGTTCTTGCGGAAATTCAAGCGGCCAGTATAGACAGCTGTCAAGTATAGAAAAACTTGCCAGTCTAGACGCAGCCTATGTGTATGTAAAATATTTTCCAGTGCTATTTAAATTGATGCACTTTTTCTTTTTAGTCCAGTGAAATCTTTAATTACCCTCTACTTAATAAGTTACGTGCCATCCATGCTGTGACTATTAGCAGCTTGACTATAAGCAGGACTTGACTCTAACAGCAAATCTTCACCAGAGTGGCTCCCAATAACTTTACTGTTTCTCCAGTATATATTTTTAATTTTATCTTATATTTCTGTAATATAGGTGGTTTGCCACTTTTCCACATAGTCTCATATACTTCTTGGCTCATTGTAATTATGCTACATCCTGTGTCAAGCTCAAATCATACTTTTTCATTTATAGGCAGCCCACTATGAATGGGAATTATTTTAGGAATAGTTCTTCCAGGGAAGCCTAGTGAAAGGAGGAGTAACGGTAGTTCGGACTAGGAAGCCTAGTCCGAACTCCCTAGTCTGTGCCGCGTGTAGCCGCAGGCAGGTACTTCGAACTATGGGGCATTTAAAAATGGCAGCTCCTGGGAACATGCAAGTTCGAATGCCTACATTAGCCACCCTAGTTCGAACTAGGGTGGCAGTGTAGACATACCCTCAGGGGCACCAACGCGGGGTGGCAGGCAGTCAGTCTGTGAGGGGAGCTGCTTTTTAAACTGGCTCCCCTTGTGGAACAGGTCCAGCCTAGCACCCCCCACTGCTGTCTCTGATAGAGAGGGAGCAGAGTGGGGTGGCAGGGGGCTCCCCAGGAATGGGGCTGGAGTGCACTGGGTGGCCGGCC